ATGAAAAATATGTTTCCAACTGGAAATAGTTTATTTCGGGCACTGCGATGTAGAATGGCAATGGGAAATCACTCACGCTATTCTTCCTTGAATCGAATTGGAATTTGACTCAGTTTACGGATCTGTTCTAGGGCAGTACTACAAAATGATAAAATAATGAAGATGGATGCATTGATATGACTGAAACTAAATTATTTATACTCAATTGTGATAAATGAAAGTAGAATAGTCAAATAAGAATATCTAGGATAATCATTTGCCTAAATATATCCATATGCAAAAGTATAATATTCAATAAAATAATCTATAGATTTTTTCAATTTTATTCATATTTTCTAATTTTAATTCAGCCAACGGTGATTTTATTAGCTAGGCCACATTAAACCAATCATAATTCGTGCATATTTTATTTAATATGTTCTTAATCGCATTCAAGATGCAAAACGTCTACAGATCTAACGGAAAAGTCATAAATAAATATTTTTATTTGACAATCACCACTTACTCCTTAATATATAGTAATAAATTATATTTTTTAAATTCAATATCATTTTAATCGTAACGAAAAAATAATTTAAGCGCATACTTATGAGCAGTAATAAAAATCTGTTTATTGTTAGTTTTTATGATTGTCATCTTTCAAAATTTGTTTCGTTTTTTAAGTGCTTTCTCAAAATATTTCAATGTGACAATGTTATTGTGGTGGCGTATATTAAAAGATCGTAAAAAATATTGTATTGGATTTTTAAATTGGATTTTTATAATTATTTTAGAACAAAATTTTGAATTATGTGTGCTTAATAATACATTTATTTTATTTTTTCAGGGTTTGCCATTGCACCTCCAAATTGATACATTTGAAGATCCACGAGACCCAACCGTGTTTCATAGAGGTTACTGCCAGATCAAAGTCTTCTGTGATAAGGTAAAGTAAAAAATAAAATTATTATAAACCGAACAATTGTATATTTATAATTGCGAAAAGAATCATTCTTGCATATGCAGTTTATTATCAACTTACGTTACAACTAACAGGTGTCTATTTTTTTATTAAAGTCTATTTTTTTATAACCATATTTGATGATTTTGTATATTTTTGTGATATTTATGAATCAACCTAATTATTTAATTTGCAAAATTTCCAAGATTCTATTCACTTTATTACACGATAATTTATATACTAGACTTTACAATCTGGTTTTGACAGTTCATAAATTTCGAGTGGTTTGTCGAATGTTCATGTTCTGAAACTTGATGTAATTTATTGATTTTATTTATACTAACAAATTTATCGTGTATATAAAAATGAATGATTGATTAAATTTTCCGTATTAATGGAAGAATTATATATAAATATGAATTAATCTATTTATTAAACTATTTTTGCATTGAACAGTAAATTGGGTATTTTCGTACACTACAATACCTAAGAATTTATACTATATTTTATTCTTTATAATTATGTATGTATTTATAAAACATATTTATATTTATATATAGTCTCCCATCGCGACCGAGAGGCATTTTGACAGCTACTTTTTTAAATGCATGACACACAAACCTTTTTTGACAACTTGACATTTATCAGTTAAGTGTCAAATCACTCTACATATATCTCAGGAGTTCGCTCAGTATGGCGCTAATCTCTTGTTTAGATTTTTTTTAATTTCGGTATAGTTTTCTGAGTCACTTTTTTCTTGTCGGTAATTTTTTTCTTCAAAACTGATTATGTTGATTTACTAATAAATGCGTAATATATTTTGTTAGTTATTGAACCCAAAACTTTGATACTACCATCGATATCGATTCAAGAATATCGAATTTTGATTTATTATTACACTAATTACAAAGAAATATGATGTATGATTACTTATAATATGCTTGCAATTAAGCCAGAACCACTTTGAGACGTTCATGTTTAATACGATTTTCCAGATAATTTGAAACATTATCCTTATCCTGAATATAGGATTTATCGCTTAATACACGTTTTTGGTCCTGAAAATCGTCTTAACAGAGTTTTTCGTCATATTCTTAGTTTTGAAGCAATTACGAAAATTTCAAAGTTTGTACTTTACTTGTTTATAATAGTGCTTATTATTTAGCGGCGCGATTTAAATAAATTTGCCATTTTTGATATAATAATCTTTAATTTGAGCCTTTTTTAAGCCAAACTAAGCTCAAAAGTGAAATTTTAATTTAACTGATGTACTATGCTAAATTAGATTAGTACCATATAATATGACCATTTTACTTTGTTCAAAATAACGTCTAATGTGGTTTTTGCTCAATATGATTTTAACAATGCATTTTCATTGGTTACCCTTTTATATTATTTCTCAGTTATTACCAATTCAAAATCTAAAAATGTATTTTAATATTGATCTCAGCTCTTCGGCTAAGTATAATAAAATATTTGTACTTTTTTTCTCACCACGTCCAGGGTACTTAGGATTTAATACTTGCGATTATTGTGCACTGTTGGTCTCATATATCACTACGAGAACATTCAAATTGATTTATATTGGCCAGTTTCGTGTGAATTTATTGTAATTATATATCACTCGTGCTTGAGAATGCAATACTATCTGGGATAAAGGGTATAGTAAAAAACAATCTATATTGAAAAAAACATTACTAAGTACGTCTTATTGTTAGAATACTATAAAAGTTTCTAATACCTATTTTTTTACTAATTTTTGATAAAGTTATTAGATTTACCTATATTTAATTAATTTTCAATATTCATTGTTGCGTAATAACTACTTGGCATAGTTGTTAATTAATATTTTTTTAACGCGTCCGCATAATGAGCACCGTTGTAGTACACAAACATATAAATAAACGATAATTAATGTTTTTGTCTCGTCCCATTAATAATATAATATCTTCATATACATTATGCTTGTAGAAACAAAAAATATGTACTGGAATATGATTAAGATTGAAAATTTACGGTATGGCAGTTTTTTTAAAACGAATTAAAAACAAAGCTATATACTTGTATAAAACTAGAAATGTAATGGTAAGGGTATATAATTGTATGAGTAGTCACAAACTGTTAAAAGCTATGTATTTTCTGTACGATAAGGCGTTTAACACATAAAACCTAACCTCTTAAATGTACAATTGTCAAATATCAATTTCATCATAAGTGCAACTTTCTGATGTTCCTTTGATAACAAATATGCGAAGTTAGGTTTTATGTGTAAAACATAGCTAACAAATACATAGCTTTTCGACAGTTTGTCACAACCAACTCATACGAATATAGACCCATAACAAAACATTACCATAACATTTCTATTTTATCCAAAAATTGTATCCTTGGTTTATTCCACTGTTTTTCTTTATATGATTGTTCTTCAAGATGCTGTTGAATTTTAGGGTTTTAATTTGCAACAAATAACTCCCCGTCAACCAATTTATCTAGCTGCTCTAATTATTACTGCAGTTTTCCATTCAATCTTTTATCATGCATGTTAAAAATATTTAAAGTGTTACAGAATCTGACATTGGCTTTACTTGACTGTTCCTTTCAATATTTATTACTTCATCCGTGTCTGTACTCAAACTACCAACAATACTATTTGTTATCTTAGCCTCGGACAGAGGACTAAATCTCCTTCGGTAATTTATTGAGGCAATTAACAAACGCATATAAAACGATTCGATATCTCGACTCTACATACAATATAAATGACTTTAAAAGTCGCTTTAAATGAGTAATTAGAATGTGTTCCTGATTGAAAGTTTTGATTGTGCGTCAGAAGTTTTATATGCCGTTGGGCTCTTAATGTACATGAAAACGGTATTTTGTGTCAAAAGTAGTGACGAAATTTTTAATTTAGAATTATAGAATACAAATAAGAGATGCATTTAACGAATCGTTATTAGTAACAAGTGCCTTCGATTAAATCTATAACTAATTGTAAGTAGATTGATACAAGCTCGTTGTTCATTATAAAGTTTAATCAGTAAAATTATTATCAATTTTGGTTGTTAATTTCATTCGAATATTATACCATTATATAAGCCCCTAAATTCTATATCAAATGTGTTATAAAAATAAATAAATGTCAATAATTTACAATTTTGATTCGTTTTGCCATGCTTGTCTGCTGCTAAAAATCTAAATATTGAACGTGCATTAATTAATTAAATAAAATATAGTTGTGTATAAATTTTATACTATCTATAAGAATTAGCGCGACCTTCCAGTCGACTTTGAAATGTATCTATGATATTTAACTAACGTATATTTATATAGTGTTACGTGTTTCCGTGTTCGGACACAGGTGTATGCTGAATTGACAATTAGCGCAATAAATTAAAACTTATGAGCGAATAGATCCGAAAGGCAACAGATTATATTTTTTTTATTTTTCGTTTTATTTTCAAAATAAATCATCAAAACGACATCGGTATCGAAAAAGCAATCGCTAGTGACCTCCGTTGACCTTCTGATGGCTAATACAACAGCGGAATTTCGTTGTCTTCACGGATTTTTTATGTCGAAATTTTTGTGTTACGAAAGAAGACGATGTTTATTTTTTATGGTTTGTAAAATTGATATGATCAAACAATGACATATTTTGGTTTAAATCGTCTTAAAAACGTCAAAGTGTTGAATAAATGTTATCAAGCCGTTGGGAAAAGTGATCACTATCAATGATACGAATTAAATTCGTTTCTTTTCTATTCAGTTACTTTTCCGTTCTGCAAATAAGTCTGGCCGTTATTAATTTTGAATTTCGATTAATACTAATATAATTTTTGAAAATGATGCAAATCCAGTAAAACTTCAATTAAAATTAAAAAGTTCACGGTTGACCAATCAGACTGTAAACAGATCCGTTTGAACAAAATCCAGGTTAAACATGGAATTGTTAATCGTGCAATATTAATGCGTTTAAAATAAAAGCGCTTTTGTTATTAATTATGACAATGAAGCAATAAAAGTAACAATAATTGTTATAATAAATTTTATTATTTTCCAGGGCGCAGAGCGTAAAACACGCGACGAAGAGCGCAGAGCGGCAAAGAGGAAAATGACAGCAACTGGACGCAAGAAGTTGGACGAACTTTACCATCCCGTTGTCGAAAGGAGCGAATTCTACAGCATGAGCGATTTGAACAAACCGCCAGTGCTATTTTCACCTGCTGAGGACATCGATAAGGTAAATAAACTTAAAAAAACACAATTAATAAAATAGGAATAATGTTGTCTAAATATCAAAAGATATGATCCTGAAGATTCTTAAAAAATACAGTGAAATATTATGCTTATTGAAGATTTATTATATATAATCAATTTGTCTTAATTCTAGTTGACGTCTATGGAATTGCAAGGTTTCTATGGTCATGAAAACTCTGAAGGAGCATCTCTCGGAGCAGGTGACATGAAAGGAACTTCACCATTCTTACTGCATACCCCAAAGCCACCATCTACGCCTACTCTCAAGTTCCATAATCATTTTCCACCAGACACGTCTGTGTAAGTATTTAAAATAAAAAAAACTAATTCATTAAGATGACTCAAAATTTATCTGTCTTATTTGTGCTCATTTGTTTCCTGGTACTTAATTTAACCATTTGCGCTCGCTTGTGTCCTTTTGGGGACGACGTGAGTCTAGCATATCACTTAGCTCTCCTGATTGTGAGCCTATCTCTTCTGCAGCACTTTGAAGATGTATCAGTTCGTGTTGAAGCGTCGAATATAATAGATCAATGATAAGCAACCTGCGGCCCGCGGGCTTTTAAATATTTTTCTGACTGACCGCTAAGCATTTCTAAAGTAGAATTTTATTTATTTCATCAACTGTCTTTCATCAATAAATTAATTATAATGTATTTTTTTCTTGTTGCATTAATTCAGGAATATTAACTTATTTTAATTTAGTTTTTCATGTTTCAATGTTCATTAATATATATCAAGCTTAGTAAATTATTAGTGTTGCTCGCCATAAAATTTAAAAATATAAATGCGGTCCGTGAATTAAAAATTTGCTCATTCTTAGAATAAATCTATGCAGTGATAAGACAGTGTTCTCTTTTCAAAATATTACTGTTTGTAGTTTTCAAAATATTTTTCATTCTTTTTTTATAAAAAATACCGAGCAATTCGTAAAGTAAATTTTTCATCTAACAAGATGATTTACTACATTTTTCTGTAGAATGATAAAAAACACTGTCACGTCGCTAATCAATTATAACGACATTGGAATCAACCTGCTATGCCTGCTTTAAACTTTACCATAATGCAGGAAATAAATTTAGATATTATTGTAAATGTTCTTCAATTCCCCTAATTCCTATAAAACAAATTGCATAACATGCACGAAGCACGATAATACCAAGTTCACAGCAGATACGTTTTTGTCAGAATGCGGCGCCAAGTTTATGGTGCCAAGCCTGACATCAGGCAACTTTGATGTCAAATTTCCACTTGGGGTTATAGATCACAATATAATTCCAAGTGGAAATCGTCCTTCGTGGACATAGTTGCATACAATCATATGCACACTATTAAACATAAGTGCTAATATATAAACCTCACACATAGGTGAATGATGAACCGATGGGTTGCTTCTCATATCAATACCTTAGGTCATAAGTCATTCACAAAAACAGCTTATAGAACAGTAATAAAGAGTTCTGATTGTTGTGGAAACAATAAAAAAAAAAGTTTATGGTAGATTGTTTTTGAATCTTTTGTTATTATTTGCTTTTTTCTCAGATTACAGTATTTTATGGACAAAATCAGTTATAATATTGATTTTTTTTTCAGTGACAAGAAAACAGTCGATATGCTTGACCAGGGCATGTCGTCCGAATTCACGCCGCCCATGATCAAACGATCTCGCCTGTCGCCGCCGCCGTTGAGCGAGCGCGTTATGCTGTACGTGCGTCAAGAGGCCGAAGACGTCTACACTCCGCTGCACGTCGTGCCGCCCACCACACAGGGCCTACTGAATGCCGTAAGTGTTTTCAAATGTTTCTCATATAAGGAGCCTATCAGATGAGCCATAAAAATTTTCCTAAAAGTCGATGGTACCAGAAACTCGAGTCATTGGTGGTTGGCAATACCTTCTAAATGGTATTAACAATATTCCGTGAGTTTCTCGTTCAAATTATATGCCAGCGACTGTTGACCCTTAGCAAAATTTTTGTCGCTCATCTGATTGTTTCGAATGTGGATTTAAAATGGTTTGCCAAATTGTTAGATTGTACTTACAAATATATGTGTTGTCCATAACATATTTCATAATAAAAGTAATACATTGTATTCCAAATGAAAACTGTATGTGTGTATGAAAAAACTTACATTTTTAAGAACTTTAGTCGTCATAGTTCTTTTTATATTCAATTTATGTTTTGGTTTGGAATCATTTTTGTTACAATTTTCATCCAAAAATATTTGTCATGCTTTTTTGGGATGCGCTTTTTTAACGCAGACGGATGGAATATATAAAATGTTGTACATTGTGCGATGTTTTGTTAATAATATGCAACAATAATAACTAATTTATGTTTAACAAAATGAAAAACAAATGCTTGAATTAACACAAAATAACGAACACATCTGATTCAAGGTAAATTGTTCGAGATATTATGAAATTTAGTTTCATGTACATTTTTCATTCTACATGGAAATATTATTATATGATTGTTAATATGTTTTATTGTGAACTTTGGTTTATGATATATATGAATGTATGTCATATAAAAAAGTACAAATCTTGATAGTTGATTTCAAATAGTTTTGTGAAAATTTGTTACCCAAAAAATGTTTTATTTACATCGATTTTCATCAGAGAATGCATATTGTTGATGTTTAAAAATTTATTAAATTACAAAATCTATCGCGACTATTTTTTAAATGTTCCTTCTATTAAAAGTGTTTTACGTGCATACTTACAACACTTTATCAAATTAAATTAATAGTGATGTTAGCTTTGCTATATTTAGCAAAATGTATTTTTGAAAACGTGGTTGTATTTAAAATTTACATTCATTATGAAATGTAATTTTAATAACGCAAAAAGTACTGAAAATTATGTACAACACATAAATTTGATCGATGTTTTTTAAATATCAAAGTAAATTAAAACCTTTGTGTTAACGCACTATTTTGCTTATTTTTGTTTCAGATCGAAAATAAATACAAAATTTCTGCTTCAAGCATAAATAACATTTATAGAAAAAACATGAAAGGGTAAGTTTTTCCTTTAGCAAGAGCTTATTTATCGTTTTAAATAAGAACCGTATTATAGTATTTTAAACAAATTAAGCCTTTATTGTAATTCTTTTTCCAAATTTTTATTGATTTAAAAATCCATTGTCGTAGACACGTTTGCATGTATGATAACATAACATTAACATACTAATTTTGATTGTTTTTGGTTTTACAATCATTACCATAAATCATCTGGTTTTTTAACATATGGTGACAGTAGCTTTCTTGTGCTGTTTAGAAATAAGTAAGGAAATTAATATTTATTGCTTTCAATAATTATTCTTATTATAACAAAAATAAATATATTTAATAAAATTAGTAAATTTGTCACTAAATTGCATTTCAAAGAACCTGTGCATTTTTATTTTTGATTAAGTCTGCATGTTTATTATAAATATATTTATTGAGTAACTTTTGAATAGTAAAATTTATTGCAATTTTATTATAATCTCATTCAAAATTTATCTTAAAACATAGAAATTTAAAAAATTAATTGGAAAAAATCTGCTCTATCCTTAAAACTGTAACTTTTCTAGTCATAATACATACTAAATATTTTTATTATTGCAAAACATTTTTTTATTATATAGTATTATTAATATTGTATTTATATTTTCTATGGTTTAGAGAAGTAGGAAGTAGGCAGAAATATTCTTAATTATAATTTTGTAATAATATTTACTTTTTTTTCAGGATTACGGCCAAAATAGACAATGAAATGCTTTCATATTACTGTAATGAAGACCTATTTCTATTGGAAGTCAGAAGATCAGAGGATGATTTGCTCGATATAACGCTGGTTGAACTACCAAATCATTAGCAAATCTATAAATGAAATATTGTTAGATTATGAACTATCTTGCCTTACTTGACAAATGCTGGAGAATGCATTTATTAGTACATACATACATATTTTGTGAGTATATATAACTATATACTTAAATCATAAAATTTGTAATGTATATATTACTTCTTCGGCAGAATTCATGATATTGAAGGATCAATTAACGGATCATGTTATATTAGATTTTATAAGTATTGGCCTTTATGAAAAATGAATATTTTTTAGTATCTTTATGTGATTTTACAAAGATTTCATAGAAGTTTTAATATAAATCTATTTTGTTAATATTTTTACACTAATTCTAAGTTGTAGTGATTTTTAATTGTTTTTTCAACTTAAACAGAATCGACAATACTCTTATCTTTCACAAATGAATATATATGTAGATGTTAATTATTAAGTATTTTTAATACAATGTTTTGTGACAATTGTTACAAGAAAATATTTCTTTTATTAACTATTATCGTATTTTATTAGGTTTATGGATATAGTTTTGGAATATATAAATGCATTTTATATTGGCATCTTTAAATGTTGTTTAGTTTATGATCTCAAACTTTAAAAATTGATCAATATAAATTCGTTATAAAAACTGAAAATGGAAGGTATTGGAAACTTGAACTTAAAATAATTTATACGCATTTTATACATTCCTCATATACATATTTTCTATAACACGAAAGACTTGTGATCTTCTCTGCACTAATAATATCTTAACCATTACAATAGATTATACAAAAAATACAAAGCAAAAAAGCACCTGTAAAAGGTAATCACAGAAATTATATCAACTGATTTTTCATTAATAGTCCTGACAGATTTTATTTACTGGGATTTTATTAAAATTAAAATAAATACTTCACGACGTTATTCTGCAAAAATATATAATTATTAACAATCGTACGATTATTACTCAGTTTCATAGCATTTTCTTGTATATAAAATAATTTAATTAAAAAGGGTTTCATAAACAATGAGTGCCTATAATATAAACTTTACAATAAAAAGCAATGCTTTATAAAGTTTACGTAAAAATGAAGTCAAGCTTTTATATTATACCTTCATCTATGCTTTCAATTATTTAATTCGCAATGTTTTTATTGTGCCAAATATCATTAAGAAAGCATTTCAGTTTAGTGTCGGTGTATATTGTATACATACTTCAATATCCAAAGTGGATATATGATCTTCCATATTTATACTTACATATGAATATTAAGCTCTAGTTATATATTATATAAGTCTAATAATATCATTAACTTTAATTGTACTGAAAAAATATTCTTTTTGATGTATATGCCATGACAATAAACATAAGTGTTTTTTTATTAAACATATTGTTGTATAAGCTAATTTGTAAGATAAGATATATTTTATATGAAGATAATATTTTTCAATTAATCTTGCAACATTCCAAAATATTGAGCTATAAATTATGAGCTGTGACGTCTGCAAATTATATGAAAATTGTAAATCTAATAACTCACAAATGATCTTAAGTGTATAAATTACATGTTACGATCACAGACGTCATGGAATCAAACTAAAAATCACAAAATTTCTTGCCTTAATTATATTAATGAAGTAATAATTCTCTAAAATCGTCAAAATTTCAATATATTAATAACCTACAAATTACTTAAAAATATGCTTCAAAATTCTTCATACCCGTAAATGGTACCTGACTTATGCTTTATTTAAAACATAAGCCTAATAATAAAAATTATGTGAAAGTTTGACATATTAAATATGACAACATTGACTATATGATGATTAAAAAATTAGTTCATTTAATATCATATTAAATTGCTTGTTGGCCAATAGCATCAGATATATATATATATATATATATATATATATATATATATATATATATATATATATATATATATACTTGCACATCTACACCAATGTAGCAATTTATTAAATGAAAATATTTTTATAACTCTTTTATATTTATATTCACAAAATTTAGCTCGAAATTATTTTTTTACAATGTCATGAAAATACTTTTACTCAAATTACTCAAAAAGTAACAAGAAGTATTTCTAAACGTATTAGATCAAATATATTTTTGTGTTTGATCAATTATAATTTGTACATAAATAATATAATGTTTTATTAATATTTAAAAATATATAATTATATGCCTATTGTATATATCAGCTGCTATTTTCAAGAAATTTGGACATCAATTTAATACAGCCATGACAATGTGCTCTTATATGAATTATAAATAAATTTTCAGCATGTATATATGTGTACATATACATGTTATATTTATAAATAATTCATATATAATTTTGTAAGATAATTCGATTCAGAATCAACTTTGTGAAAATAGTAAGCAACAAGTGAAAAACTGCAATATTTTGTTTCCGACCCAATGGTGGCGGTGCATTACTTTATAAAATATTTTTATTATTAGTATAATCGTAATAATGTCAAATGACGGTTATTTTATTAATTTTATACTATCTAAGTATTTGATTATATTATTGTAATTTAAAAAATTACGCTTTAGAGTACAATAAAGAAGAATTGTGAATCTGATACCCATTGTTTTTTTATAATAGAAAGATAACACCAATTATATGTATGTTTGGATTTTTTTAGAGTTGAGTAATTTCGCCAATAGTAATATCTACGAAGATAACTTTTCTCGTCGAATTATACTGTTCTTTAAAAAAAATATTGACGATTTTAATAAATATGTGTATAGGATAAATCATGGTTCAAATGAACATTCTAAAATATTAGGGTTCTTCGAAAAGTAGTTTATTAAAGTTTAAAAAGTTTCAAGTTTAACAAATTTGTTAAAACTGGGAGTAAGTGATGTAATTAGAAAATATGTATGTATTCATTATATTCTCAAAGGTATTTTTGATATCTAAAAACTTTGTATATGATAGATCGCGTATTTTTGTCACCTGAACTTCCAAATTAGCAACCAGATGTCGCAAACTCTGGTACAAAGTTGAATTTTGTCAGTCAACTGGTGGTAGTTGACCATTCAGTATCAACAGTCTTATGTGTAATATAGTGTTGAAGTGTATTTATTTTTTTTAATTTTTTTTGTATTTTGTAATTCAATCTATAGTATAATTATAATCTATGTAATCAGCAACAGCACTAGTAAGCCCTTATTTATAACACTCGCGCCTTTTTGTGAACCGGACTTCCAAATTGACCACCAGATGTCGCAAAATCTGGTACAAAGTTGAATTTTGTCAGTCAACTGGTGGTAGTTGACCATTCAGTATCAACAGTCCAATGTGTAATATAGTGTTAATGTGTATTTATTTTTTCTTATTTTATAACTCGAACTGTAGTGCTTGAGTAACACATTGTGCGATGCAAATTTTAGAAAACAACAATGAGACAAATCAGCAGCAGCACTAGTAAAATATTATTTATAAGAGGTAAATTAAGGTTATAATTTTCTAAAATAATCACGCCTTTTTGTGATCTGAACATCCTAATTAGCAACCAGATGGTGCAAACTCTTTCTAAATATTAAGGTCTTATAGAAAGTGGTTTTCTATAATTCAAAAATTTATTAAAGCTTGGAATAATGGGACGCGCTTTTAAGACATGCAAGCATATTTTCGGGCAGTATAATTGATACATCTATAGATAATATAAAATTGTTTGAAAGACGTCAATTGAAAATTGCTTCGATTAGTTTTCATTGGAAGCGATCACATTATTTCCGAAATAAGCATTTAAAAATTTTATATGAATATTTCGAACATATTCATCACATATCGGAAAGTTTATGCAACTTGCCAAATAAAATAAAATGATATATAAATCGTTAAGTGTGTTCATATGATTTTCTCGAGATTTTCCAGTTTTTCATGAATTTTTCAATTGCAATTTGCCTATAGGCCATACCGTGCGGAATTCGAAGTTGCGATATATAGAAGAAAACTATATTGTAAGAATTTTGAGACTTTTCTAACGATGTATAATAATTTATATGTTTTCTTTAGAGAAATATCGAATAGTGTGGATAGTTGCTAGGACCATATAAGATTGGCAAAGTGTATCTTACATCTGCTTTAAAATTTTCATTATCATATCATAAATTAATTGCACAAACATAATATATGATTTAAAATTTAAAATATTTTATTAATAAAAGTAAATTAATGGTATACTTTTTCTATTGATCTTGTTTTAATACTATATAAAAGTTTCTTATTTGTATACAGAATATTTCTAATATATGTTTACGAATACATAAAATCTAATCAAATGCATATAATCTAAATTACTTATTTACTAAAGTATATGTATTATGAAAGTTTTGAAAATAAGAATTCGTCCCGTGTAAACATTTGTATTATAAACTAGTCGTGAGTAGCATTTTGCCTTAAGGTAAGTTGCATGAACTTTCCTATACGTACACATTACATACTTATTCAATAAGAATTGAGATTTAGCTATTTAGGTAAAATGTTCAATTGCTTATTTTGAAAATAAAATTACTGTTTTCACTCAAAGATAATCAATGTGATTTCCAACTAATATCTTTCAAACATACTTATAATATTTGTAATTGTATAAATTAAATTAATTAGTTTAACAAGATTTTATTTCATTTTTTTATGTATTTTAAAAATGTATTTAAATGTAGATGTCAACTGCAGTCAGTAGCTACCTGCAAAACACCAAAAAACGCATATATGCTTTGGTGTAGATTCTGATTAAAATCGCTCAAACTCTTGTAATTGAATATCATAAATTAATATAATTCAAGTGTTTATCGTAACCTATAATATTTTAGTAAGTTATTTCAAACTACAAACTCTATCGTTATATAAAGTATCATTAAAATTTCCAAAAAAAATCTACATTTGATTACAAAAAGAACCGGCCAATCTTTACCAAAAACTAATCAACACGATAACCAACCAATATCTTTCGTACAGTTTTGGAATTTATAATATTTATCCAAGATTGTGGGCTAAACTGTGGACAAAGAATTTTACACTTTTCTGCTAATAACAAAGAAACGGCTTGGCCGATCTTCGCACAAATCTGATAATTGTTTGCCCTTACCGAGTTTTATCAGATAGTCCAGTCATTATAGTAAGTTCACCTCGGAATTCGAGATACCCAGCTGTATGTCTGTAAATACTGTATATTGACACCCTAAAAGTTGTCCCAAAACCTACATATGGTAGGGTGTACGTGCGATATGTAGGTTTTGAGACAACTTTTAAATGTCAATATACAAGTATTTACTGACTTACAGCTGGGTATCTCGAATTCCGAGATTCTTACCTAATTTAAGCTTAAATGACTGGACTAGGATGGCTTTTCAATCTTTGAAATCGGTTCAGGCGCTTCAGAGAAAACGTCGACGAAAAGTGTAAAAATGACTCAGATACTCACACACACATACTTTTTCCAAATTTGAGAAATTTTCATCAGAATGACGTCGAGAAAGCATAAAACTAGCAAGTCAGATTTTTTTTAGCGTAAACAAACTCCTTCGGGAAGTTAATAAATATGTTAACTTATAAACAAATTTCAATATATTGTGATAGTATGCTTTCCATGTATTTATATAAATTTAATAAAATAAATAATTCATCTTTTAAATTTTTTAGATTTGATAACTCCAATCATAGTGCTCTTATGCTTATTTATCTATGACATGTCATATTATTGGGAGAAGTGTTTATTAGTTTTTGGCAAAGGCAGGCCCAGCCATTTTGAAGATACGGAGCTAAATATGTAAAAAATGGCAGTTTTTGAGAGAACTAAGCGTCCGATTTAAATGGTTCAAAAAACTTTTTGCTTGTCTTAACAAAATAATTGATTTTGGAAAAAAAAATTGTTCCATTTTTTTTTTTTTTTAGTTTTTTGTATATCGAAAATATTTCAGATTTTATTTTTAATTCTGACTATAGTTCTAATATACTTTACAAATAATTTTAACTCTGCAATTCAGTTTATATAATTCTTATAAATATTAGACAATGTTACAATATTTATAATAATCTATTTGAAAACATTCAGTATTCCTCGAACATTTCGTTACGGTACGGGAAGTTCCAGCAATTTGCCTTAAGGCTCCACTTACAGCTAGTATATTGTCTATTAGTATATTGTCTAGGGTCATAGATTCTATGACTCCAATCAACTCCAATGGTATCAAAAGGTGTAAACATAGGATATAAAGTTGCTTAGACAAGACACCCACCTTTTTGTATAATTCAGCATATTGACAAAAATCTCCAATAGGTGGCATCATTGCAGCTACCTTAAAATTTTATCACTATATTCCGTTCAATGCAATTTGACATTTGTTAGGTTATGTGACAAATTAGTAACAATTTTATTTAAAATTATCTTTTTGTTTGTAGTACTATTATTCTGTCATTGATTTTGTGTAAATAATTTCAAACATGAGGAGATCTTTGCAATTATGCCAAAAGGTTGGCGATTTAACAAAACAATATTCCAATTTGCCAGAAAGCTACATTAAGCGAAGCATGGAACAAGTATATTGGAAAACTCCTAACAAACCGAATTATTCGAGGAAAGAAATCAAAAAAAGGAAGTTCTACTTCGGAGCTCACCGACCATGGTCTCAAGAATTCCGACAAGATAATTCACCTCTTGATGCCAAGAAAAAAATCTTCATCGAGCCTATTAAAGATTGGTCTTTCTTCAGAGGCGATAGAGTAGAAGTACTTGTTGGAAAGGACAAAGGTAAACATGGTATAATAGTTCAAATATTTCAAGAACGAAATTGGGTTATCGTAGAGGGATTGAATTGTTACCTAAAAACTGTTGGAAAAGATAAAAATTTCCCCGGAATCACCATCAAACAAGAAGCTCCATTGCTTGTTACTAGTGAAGTCGCTTTAGTAGATCCAACTGATTTGAAGTCTGGACCAGTAGAGTGGCGCTACACAGAAGAAGGAGAAAAGGTTCGAGTATCTGTTAGAACTGGAAGAATAATTCCAATTCCGAAAATGGCTTCCGAAACTTTTGATTATAAAACACCTTCAGCATATATAGAACAACCAAAAGATACTACAGCAGATGCAGCAAGTCAAATCACATTTCAACCAATGTTGAAAACATTTGAGATGGATATTATGGATAAAATGGGTATAAAAGAAGACAGAGTTCCTGGCAAAACCTATTGGTATTGAAGTAGTCTATTTTGGTGAATGCCAATAATATATTAAGTAAATAATTGTTATATATGTATATATATATATATATATATATATATATATATATGTATGTATGTATGTATTTCTGAATCATATGAAATATATATAGTTGATAACTGTGTAGATATTACTTCCATGTTTTATTTTGACCACTTCAAAAATTAACTTATATTTACATACAAAAATGATAAATTTTTGCTTCTTTGTACCAGTTATTAACTTCCTGTATGACAAGTTATAGTAATTGCAAAAAAATTGAAAGTAAACATTTTTGAATATCATTACGTTTCATGGTCTTCTGCCCGTTTTTGGCATACCTTAGAGAAAATGTATGTATGTGTGTGTATAGTATGTATTTATGTTTGTTTGGATACAATCTTCCAATTCAAATCAAACAATTTGTATAATTCAAAAAATATTTGATTCGTATTTACAAGTAGAGATGCTGTTTAGTTTTTGGCAAAGGCAGGTGTAGCCGTTTCGAAGATATGGGGCGAGCAAGTTTTTTAGGGAATAGATCATCCATTAGAATGATTCAAAAAATCATTTGATTGGTACTGATGTATTTTATCATATTGATTCGTATTATCAAAAAACATATTGCTGATGATTAGTTTTTGGAAAGACAGGTCCAACGGTTTAAAGTTTTTTATTTGTTTTTAAATGACAAAAATGATTTGGATTTTAGTATATCTTTGCAATTCAGTTTACATAATTCTTAAAAATATGAGATAAGGTCCTCCAATGCTTGATGAAAAATGATATAAGGCCCTTCATATTAACTCGATTTGATTAGATTTTGTTTCTATATAGTTGATTCAAACATAAATAAACATCATCGTCCAGTGTATAAGCTCTTATATTTTGACTATAAAATATGGAGAATGAATGTTACAGTATTTATAATAATCTATTTGAAAGAATTTATGATAATTGGTATTAATTATTGATTAATCTGTATTGATTATTAATTAATTTTATTGAAACTAATGTGTAATGTTAAATAGGAAATACCTTAAGAACCGTTGCAAATGAGTTGAGTTTTGTCAGTTATGAGTTATCAGTTTCAGAATCAAACAGCAAACTTATAATACACTTGCATATAGTTTGCTATGAAATAAAGGTTGTTTTGTAAAAGTTGAACATTATATTATATATAGATATCCAATTTAGCAAAGAGGCAGTAATAAATTTTGTCTTTGCGACTACAGGGCTTCAGCTTCGATACCCATCTTTGCCAGCTTGATATTTACAAGTAGTAATATCCATTTCCACTTGAAAATACAGATCTAAATCTAATCTAATCTAAAATCTACGTCATATTTTCAATTTATTAGATCAAATTGTAAACAGATCACTGTTGGAAAAATCAAATAATAAAAATCTATCAAAAATAGATAGGTTGCCCTTTGGGTTATCTTCTAAAAAGCAATATAAAATAGAAGTTTCATTACAACAACTCTTAGAACTTTTGAAGGAAAACACGAACCATTCCGAGGTAACCAAATGTTATATTTTTGTGGTTTGCAATCAAACATTTTCTGAGCTAAAGTTAGTTAAAGAAAATGTTAAATCTAAAGCACTCGCGCCTTTTTGTGTCTCTAACTTCTAAATTAGCAACCAGATGTAAAATTTTGTACAAAGTTGAATTTTATCAGTCCACCAATGATAGTTGGCCATTCAGTATCAACAGCGCAGTGTTTAACATCATGTCAAATGGCATTAATTTTCTCTTTTTTTTAGTGAGTAATACATTATCTGATGCAATTTTTATAAAACAACAATGAGAATAATCTGCAGAAGCACTTAAACTATTATTTATAAGAAATAAATCAAGGTAATGATTTTTCTAAAGCAATCGCGCCTTTTTGTGAAGCGGACTTCCAAATTAGCAACCAGATGTCGCCAACTCTTGTGCGAAGTTGAATTTTGCCAATAAGCCGATAGTAGTTGGCCAATCAGTATCAACAGTGCAATATGTAACATCATGTTGAAGTGTATTTATTTTTTTTCCTATTTTTTGTCGTTTTATAACTCATCTAAACTGCGTGAGTATAAGTAGTTGGCAAATGTGCTTTAAGCAAATTTCAAATAATATAATCTGCAAAATATGGGACTGCAGCCGGTGCCAAATTTTAATGAAGATTACACATAATCATTGAGAACCTGAATAAGGTATGTCGAAGGTTTTTTTTAGGAATTATTAGCATTAAGTCTTAACAATTTCGAATACATGCTGCATTCCTTAATATATACATTGATTACTAATTAAGTTACTTTATTTTAAAAAAATGAAACAATATCATTCATTTCGTGTTTCTGTATTGCAAGATCTTATATAGATCATCAATATAGTATTGCTGTTCCCTAAAATCATTTTTTTAGCGTTCTGGGCTGATATTCAGTAACATTTTGTCTAACGGTATTTAATATTGGTAAAGGTACAATAAATTGTCTATGAACATACATGTGTAAAATTGTTATGAGATTTTATTAACGAATCTATATACAACAAATACTAAAACTTAACATTTTGTGTTATATGTAAAACATGAAGCTTAAGTAGTTATCATATAGAAAATATTACTGACACAAACGATCGTTCAACATGCACACAAAGATGTTTTACTAATCGAATTAAACATGGCTAGCATGAATAAAATAATGCAGGATTGGGACAGACCAAGACAATTTGATTTGTTCGACTTATCAAAAACAAACACTTTTGATCTCATTCTTCCTCCCTCTGGTGTAGAGGACCTACATTCATTGGAGGCGAGATTAAAAGATAATGAAGGATTGTGTTCAGAATATGTAAGTTCTACTGCAAATTTATTAATGATTTCTGTGTGTGCATATGTATGTATGTACTCATGTTTTTATTCATGATTGTTTTAGAAAACATTTATCGCCAGGATTGGTGGGAAGACGGGCGAAGTTCATTTGAGTGATGTCCTTAAAAGACTAATGAGAAATAATTTAGCAATGAGATATTTCTGGTATGGGAATAAGGGAAATATTCCATTGCATGAAACACGTTTGATTACATTATTAAGAAGTGAGTATTCATATTTATATACTAGTTTGAATTTGATTAATTTCTAATATTATTGTTATTATTATATAGTTGTTCTGAGAGTTGTTCACCCTGAATTCACGGATAGTACATTTAAGAAAATGATATCAAATTGGTTGAGATATGCTCGCCAGAGGAATGACAGGGCGGCGAGCAAAGCGAAGCCACCAAATGAACAGAATTCATGATAGATAAACTGTATATAAGTTTATTTTTTTAATAAATTTATCATATTATGTATTAATATTTTAATTCTTGTGTATTCATTATGTATTAAGTTTCACTGCAATAATACATGCTGCCTTTTTCAGTAATATATATATATATATATATATATATATATATATATATATTAGGGTGGTCCTTAAAATGGTCATTTTCGAATATCCTTGCTCCCAGGGGCTCAAACGGTTCCAAATAGATAAAAAACTATTCTCTGAAAGTTTTAGCTCTTAATATTGACGTTTAGATAGAGCGCAATTCAATCAAAGTTTTATATGGAAATAGCATGGAAAAATTTTAAAAATGTTTTTTAGATGTAATTTAGCGAATTGAATAAATAAAACCAAATCATTTGTCGCTAACTTATACCTAAAACATTTTTTTTAAATTTTCAAAATTTTTTCCATGCTCTTTCCATACAAACTTTGATTGAATTGCGCTCTATCTAAACGTTAATATTAAAAGCTAAAACTTTCAGAGAATTGTTTTTTATCTATTTGGAACCATTTAAGCCCCTGGGAGCAAGGAAATTCGAAAATGACCATTTTAAGGACCACCCTAATATATATATATATATATATATATATATATATATATATATATATATAATTATGAAATCTGTGTTTTGAGATTAATACAAGTTAACTGTTAAACATAAATTTTAAATTGTTTATTATATGCTTGTTATATGTAATATTTGTATAAACAAATAAAATAAATAAATAAATGATTAAGTAAACTCTATTACTTTTTAATCTACTTAACTATTAATCCAATACAAAATTTAGGCATGCATTTTTACTAAAATAAAAGTTGGATAAATGTACACAATTAAGTGGTTTTGTTGTTCTGTCAACATCAGTTAGATATTGCTAAGATGTCGTACGGTGGTCGCGAGTCGATTCAAGTGTAGAATCCATCTCAATAACACATTCGTGACTTCGACGCGGCCATGTCTCATGTCGCCGGCGCGACATCAGTGCGACTATTGCACTGATGTCGCGTGTTTACTGGGAAGTTAATTTTTTTAACTAAGTGATTTTTTTTTAATTTGTTGTATTAAAGTTAAAAAAAATCACTGCATAGTAATCGTAATCGCAATCGAAATTAATCAATCATTAATTTAATTTAGTTGATTGCAATTCATTTTTAGCACAATGTTACTCATATTTCACTAGTGCAATTTGAACAATAAATGAATAAATAATTTAAAAAACTTTCACCGAAATTGTGGGGCACTGCGACTAATAGTTTTTGTTTGATTTGCATTCAGACAAAATGTTCATTTCGTATAATGGGGCATCATTGTCAGATTTTTTGAAGAAAACATCCAACTTGCTCTGAATCGACTATAATTTAAAAAGTATATTTAGTATGACTTTATTTTCCATATAAGCCTATCTTTACGGAAACCCGTAATTGACATAATGCTTATTTTCTTTATAAAAAAGTAAAAACTGTTGACGAATATATGATATCTACACGGTTGTTAATAATAAAAAAACATGTTATTTGGATGTTTTTTATGCACCATCCGCATGCGATTTTATTATAATCATATAATATAGATAATTACACCTTCTATTTTTATTACACCTTTTGGCAACTGCTTCAAAATTAATTAATGTTGACGTTCACTGATCTGAAACATCGAATTTCGAGTGACGCGATGATTTTTTTTTTTGTTAACAATTTGATCGTATACAAAATAACACTATATAGTCAAGTTGAGTGCATCTCAGACTCCTCGTTACTATTATACTTGTATTTGATGGCATAATGTTACAAATAAATCAAATATATAATATTTTTGCGTAGAGCTTACACTGTGAATTAACAATTTTTCGTAGAGATAGATATACCACATATGAGTTTCAATATTCAAAAAGTTTATCAAATTTATAATTGTAAATGAAATATCTATTCATTAAACTAATAATTTACGTCACAAATTATAATAGATTATCGCTATGGTTTTTTGAACATTTCATTTCAAAGTTCGAATTTCGTCAAATCGACGGGTTCGTAAACCCGTATTACTTATGTTTAACATTAAATTGAATTAATGAATCGGCCCATCAATCTATTGGATTCCCTTCCATTTGAAGATCAACACAATATACTACCAATCTCAAACTCACTATCTAATTATTTATATTATATATAAAGAATAAATCCAAAATAGCAAAAAAAAAACAAAAAAAAACAAAATTATTGTCGATGTTTTGGAACTATGTACGTTACATTTTTTGAGACTTTCACTGAAAGTGAATAGGTTTAATATCTTAACATTTTTTAACATGCACTTCAGCCCTTATTATTAATGGTATTGTGTATGAATTATAATATTTTAATGATGTTCAATAAATATTCAGCTCAAAACCAAAACCAATAGTAAAAAGTTTCTTAATATTTTGTTCCTAAAATTACATTGATTTATCGTAGTTTATTTTTATAATCTTTTGAATATATTAATTAGAATTTACTTGTAATTTTATCAGAATAAAAAAATTTACTATTATGCCTGAACAATAATAACGAAAAATAGATTTTACGTTGTCATGTTATACAATTTTCACATGTACACAAATAATATCTTTAATTAAATGTATTTTTTTAATCTATTAATTTATTTATTTTCAGCAAATATCCAATTCTGGGATCAGAGGTTCTTAAAAACGTGCCAAAAAAAACAAGTAAAAAATTCACTAGAACAAAAAGTTTACTTAATATTGTGAAAAAATACACGAAATCAAAGGATATAGATGTTACTATCCTAAACAAGTGCATAAAAACCATTAAAACGTAGAAAAGTAGTGATTGTTGAATAAACACATATTGTTGAATAAATGTAATTAGACTTTTTGTATCGTTTTGTGAACCAAAAAAGTGTTTAGTTTTTTTAGTGTTTGTGTTGTGTTCTATAATATCGTGTTGTAGTGCTGGTCCCTTGTTCCTGGCCTGCTCTCTTCTGGAAATCACCAGGCAATGCACAGTTTTCTTCAGACAACAAATTGGTAAATGAGATGTTCCAGAAGAATCGGGGATTTTAAACAAAGGTCAGTGCATTTTCATTACTAGGCATGATTTATAAGGGTAAGATCACACTTCTCGTTGTGGTTTCACAATTCGACTTTTATCGAATTTTATCGATTTTCTTAAAACTTGGCACTTTTTTTCGCTAATTCCAAAGAAAAACGGGTTGGCCGGTCGTCTCATAAACGTAATTGTAAATCCTCTTTCTAAGGTTTTAACCCAATGGCTTTTAAATTTGTTAAAAAATTTTACCTATCACATCACAAGAGCGATTTTTGACACAAATGTTGACTACCATATTTGTCAAACTTTGATGATTTTTTAAAATTAAACCATTTGTCGTAGGGCCGTAAAATTTTAGTATGTTTTGTATATCCATGATCCCTATCCTCATGTACGAAGTAACGCCTTGGCCGATCTTTACCAATCTAAACTAATCATAACGATTCCCAACCAATTTCGTTTGAACAATTTTTCAATTTATAAAATCGATTCATGATTGCAGGCTAAAACGTGGACGTTTTTTTACTTTTCTGCTAATTACAAAGAAAAGGCAAATCCTTATGGAGTTGCATCGAATGGCTTTTAAATTTTTAAAACCAGTCAAGTCGTTTACGAAAAAACTTGGATGAAAGATCGCAAAATCGGCTCTCACACAGACATACTTTTTCCAAATTTGGTGTCATTTGATTCAGAATGGCTTAAAACGTCGAGAAAACATGAATTTAGCAAATTGGATTTTTAGGCGAAAACAAACTTTTTCTTCGGAAACCTAAAAAAAATATAGATTAGTATCAACTTCAAGAAATATAATTTTAATAATATATTTTTGTGGCACGAACTAGTCCCGGTTCAATTCTCGCCGCGGCCAAATTCCGACATCAGGCAGCTTTGATGTCAAATTTCCACTTGAGGTTATATATCTTAATGTAATTCCAAGAAGAAATAGCGTTTCGTGGGCAATAGCTTCAACATTCAATCATATGATAAGTTATTATATCATATCATATTGAATCAAACATCACATTATTATTTTTTATTTATTGTTTCAACAGCAATCAGAACTACTTAACCTTATATGTCCTATAAGAGGGCGTCCATTAATCACGTGATCGATTTTTGAGGATTTTTGGACCTCCGTTCCCCTTGGTGAGACGTGGTCATTTTCAAAATTTAACTTATCACTTTTAGTTATGAAAAAAAAATTCGTCAAATTTTTAACTTTCCGTAGGGTAGTTTATCGTAAGGTGACCATATGTCCCGGATTGGCCGGGACAGTTCCGATTTTCCGCCATGCGTCCCGGTTTTTTCTAAAAGCAATATTGGCCCGGTTTTAGGTGTTTTGTCCCGGATTATCCCGGATTTTTAATAATAGTTTGACTTGGAAACATATTGCTATCTATATTTCCAAGTGAAAATCGTTGTCACTGCTGCCTGATTCAGATCCCGTCGCTCTTAACCGCTTACCTACGGGCGAGCCCTCTCCTGAAAAAATGAAAAAAAAATATGTGATTTTCATAAATGTCTTATATTGAGCAAGTAAAATTAACATTACATCATTTAAATCAGAAACTCGTGAACAATATGTGTCGTGAACGTAAATTTGTGCGTTTTACTAGAAATCCGTTTAACTGGATTCAAATTAAAAATTCTCCTACTCTTTTATTCCTATGCACGCCGCTCTGCAGCCGCCGCCGCCTGTGTCAGAACTTCTGACTCGGCTAGTAAGATATTAGATTCCAACGCGTACGCTTGTTATTTCATTTCACGCGATTGCAACGTGTTAATAGAAGCATGTTATTTTATATATAAATATTATTGTTTTTGCGCTGATTCATATTTCACATATTTTTATGCGAAATATGTGCATATTTTACATTAGTTTTATTCAAGTGCAGTTCTAATTTTAATGTGCGTGAATGCAAATTTTTTATTATCTATAATAATTGTTGTGTTGAAATGCAGTGCGAGGCAGACATATACAAATAATATAAACATGTGCTTCGAATGAAATGTGATAAGATTTATTGGTGCTACTGTCACAAAATGGTTCTTAGTTAAATTTCGGATACCGTAAACAATTCTGAGGCAAGATATTTTTGAAATGACTTAATTATAAATTAATATGAATTTTGTTTTGCCAGTTAGATATAAATTTTTTGTCAATTTTTTTATTTTATTTGTCGTTGGTGATTTTCATTAGGTTGACACTACTTCCTATTAAGGTTAAATTAAAATTGTTCATTGATTGGTACATTAGTATATGGCAATTATACTTAATTATAGTTTAAGACAAATATATCAATTTGTGATATGTATATATATATAAAATATATATATATATATATATATATATATATAGTTTCCAATTGAAAATACCTAATTTTGGGCACTGCGATGTGATATGGCAATATGAAATCTCGCACTATTCTTTCCTAAATCGAGTTGGAGCTTAAGTCAGCTCACGGATCTGCCCTAAGGCAGTACTACTTATAATATATATATATGTATATATATATATATATATATATATATAATAGGTTGCCAAATATCTCCCTTCCGCTTTTTTGCTCTTGGTTTATAATACAAAAAGGCGGAAGGGAGATATTTGACAACCTAATATATATATCAAGATTAGTGTCGAAAAATTAAATTAGTTATTTGTTTAAAATAATTATGTTATTTGTTTTTTAATATGATTGATACTATTTATATCATTATTTTCAAGAGCAAATCATGTATAATTAGGTCCCATATTTTTTCAGCGTTTGCGTGTTTATTTTGGTACAATTTATTTTTGTAATTGCTTTACTTGCAGTTCATTTACCTTGTCAAACGACCAACGATGATTGATATGACAGGCTTATTTGCGAGCCAAATTTTCTGTAATCTTTATTTTAAATTATCAATTAAAATATGGCTGTATATATATATATATGTATATATATATATATATGTATATATATATATATATATATATATATATATATGTGTGTGTGTGTGTGTGTGTATGTATGTATGTATGTATGTATGTATCTATACGGTTAAACATTACAAATCTTGGTACAGAACCCATAGATGTGTAAACAAAATTTGTACTTGCTGGACCCGCCTTCTCAAAAAATTTAATTAGTTCTGCATTTTGTCAATAGAAGTAAAATGTTTTTGAATTATTGAAATCGATCGCTCCATTCTCTCAAAAAGTGATTTACTATTTTTGGCACTTTTTGCCTCGTATCACCAAAACGGCTTGGCCTGCCTTTGTCAAAAACTAATCAGCACGACTCCTTATCAATAGGAAAGAACTTTCTCTTGTTTTTACAAAGTAGTAATTGCTTTTGGAAAAAAAATTTTTTTGTTCCAATTTTGTTTCAAATATTTTTTTTGTATATCGAAAATAATTCAGTTTTTAATTTTAATTTTCACTAAAGTTCTAATATACTTTAAACAAATAATTTCAAGTTTGCGATTCAGTTTTAATTCTTATAAATATTGGACAATGTTACAATATTTATAATAATCTATTAGAAAACATTTCTTTACGGTACGGGAAGTTCCAGCAATTTGCCTTAAGGCACGATGCCATACACCACTAGTTTATCGTTCAAATCGGCGTTCTTGAAATAATCGATGAAAAAATGTATCCACACATACACATACACATATACATTCATTGCACACATTCATGTATGCTCAACTGTTCAGAAGGTTTGAAACGTAAATATATATAAAAATCTTCTAATAACTTACCCTGCGAGAAGTTAATAAATGAAACTAATATATAAAGAAGTAACATTGTGTAAAGACATACATGTAACCTATACGATCTAATTAAGTTTTATGAAGTATTTTTATTATCATTAGTTAATTAGAAACATTCCAGTTCACATGTAAAGCTTTATATCATGTTACTTTTTTATATATTAGTTTCATTTATTTTTATCTGTTTCTTTGTCACATATTTATTTTATATTGTGTTTCTTTCAATTTGTAGTCTACTGAAGATGATATAAAATATGTCGAAACGTATGGAAATAATAAAGATTTTATAAACTTCGAATTTTTATTTGATGTATTGCTCTGAAGATATATATATATATATATATATATATATAGTAATTAAATAATTATGATTTCTTAGATTTATTTCAATTATCAAAATGAATCTGTCTAGACACTTTTAATACGATTTCCAAATGAATTCAACATGAATTATCATTAAATTCATAAAAAATACATCATTCCTAAGAGCATGTGATATTCATGCAAAATGCGTAATAAAATACATATATTAAAAATATTTTATGTGATAAAATATGAATATAATATTCATAAAATTATTCGTAAAAGTTATAACTCATAAAATTAACATAGCTCTAACATTTAAATTAAAAATTTTCTGGGCGTAATATTGTAGCGTTGAAGCATAAACATTAGATAAAATATACGTTATCTCAACAAATATGTATTAAAGGATAAGCTTATCGTAAAATATTGCCATACTAAATTACCGATATGATCAGGTCTGTTTCAAAACATTTCGTTTTTTTATTTTATTTTCCATAAACTGGCAAACAGCTTATAGAACAATGTAACTCTAAGTAGTTAGGATTGGTGACACTAATATAAACAAAAAATCTATAATCTGTTGTGTTATATATTACTCAATCTAGTATTTCTAGAAGGCAACCCAGTGGTTGACCACTTTGTTTTCATTTGGTATCAGATTTAATAAAATCTATAACCTCTAGTAAAAATCATATATCAATACAGCTTGATATTAAGTTGGTCTATGTGGGTATGGAAGCCAGAACTCGTAGCTAATCATTACATTTTGTTTTCATTTTCGAATATAATCACAGGAACAAAATAATCGTCCTAAAACGTTCTGAATGAAATGTGATTGTATCTATTTTTTATACTCTATTTGATTGCAGGTTTTTCTTAAATACATTCTACTATAAGCTGTTTATGCCGCACATCTTATAATTAGTATTTCTTAAGGGGGCAACCCAGCGGTTTACCTGTCCTCTTTTATGTGGAGATTATATTAGATATCTATAGCTAATAGTAATAAACAAATATATGTTGCAGCAATCTTTAATTTATCTTTGAATCACCTTTTAATTTATCAACTTCCCGTAGGGCAAGTTATAGTAATCGCAAAGAAATCAAAAATGATAATTTTTATATATCTTTACGTTTCAAAGGTTTGAGTATTTTGGCATACCTTAGAAAAAATGGATGTATGTGTTTTGTGTGTGTGCGTGTGTACAGATACAAAGTTTCGTCGACGATTTCGGGAACACCGATCAACCGATTTGAATAATTCAAAACACATTCGATTCGTATTGATAAGGAGACGTACTGATTAGTTTTTGGCAAAGGCAGGTCTAGCGGTTCCAAAGATATGGGGCAAGTAGTGCCAAAAATGGTAACTAAGTTTTTAAGTGAACGGAGCGTCCGACTTCACTAATTCAAAAAACATTTTACTCGTATTGACAATATGAAGAACTGATTAAATTTTTGGGAAGGCAGGTCTAGCGGTTATGGACTCTCAATAAAAATAGGGTAAAAAATTGCCATTTGGCGGTCAAAAATATTTATTGGACATATGTACATCAAATTATCACACATTTTAGAGATTTTGCACCCATTTTTTGTAACGTACCAAGAGTTTTAATTACGGTACGGGAAGTTCTAGCTATTCGTCTTAAGGCACGATGCCATGCACGCCACTAGTTAACTTTTAATTCATGAATTCCATTAATTCATGTGAGGGACAACGAACCAACATACGGGATTTTGTCCAGATTTTTTGCTGTGGCCCTATAATAATCCTAAGCATCAATATTGGTTACAAACAATTAGCCCAATTCTCGGATAAAATAGAGATGTTATGGTAATGTTATGTACGGTTCTATATTTGTATGAGTTGGTAGTAACGAACTGTCAAAATGCTATGTATTTGCTGTATTATCAGGCGTTTTACATATAAAACCTAACCTGCAAAACGCATAAAAACGTCAAATGAGAATTTTGTCATAAGTGCAACTTTCTGATGTGTCTTCTATTACACATTCGTGACGTTATAAAAGAGCGTTAGCAGTTCGTTACTACCAACTCATACGAATATAGATCCGTAATAAAGCATTACCATAATATTTCTATTTTATCCGAAAATTGGCCCCAATATTTCTTAAGCAATGTGTTACTATTAATTAATACAAAATATAACTAATTCAGTGTCGTATATAAAGAAATTTATTGCTCGTATCCTAGTTTGGCATTTATCAATCTAATATGATAGTACTTGCGGCTGTCCAGATGGATGCCATTATGTGTATATGTCGCCACACATAGAAAACGATATCGTATGGCACCGTTTGACCTCAATAAAGTCCACTGTAAATAAATTGAAGACTTTAATCACGCAAACTACAAACACACCGCATATTGTAGTGGTTACATTACATTATGTCTTGTGGATATTCAATCAAGTTTTAACCAATTATATTGTTAAATTTCATCTTTTAACTCAATTTTCTAAATATCATATAATGAAATTACAATATTTAAATCAAAATTAATAGAGCTTTAGATCTTTAGCCAGAATTAAAATTATTTTCGATGCACAAAAAAAAATTAAAAAAAAAAAAAATTGAAATAATTCTTTTTCCAAAAGCAATTGTTTTGTCAACACAAGCAGAAAGTTTTCTAAATCATTCAAATCGGATGCTTAGTTCTTTCAAAAACTGCAATTTTTGTACATTAAGTTTTGTATCTTCGAAATGGCTTTACCTGCCTTTGCCAAAAACTAATCGCCAAATCTCCCAATCATTACAAATTGAATATTTTTTAGACCATTCAAATCGGGCACTCCGTTCTCTCAAAAACTCCATTTCTATTTTTTGCTCCGTATCTCCGTAATGGCTGGACCTACCTAAACCAAAAACTAATCAGCACATCTCCCAATAAATAGGAATCGAATGTTTTCTGAACCATTCAAATCGGTTGATCCGTTCGCCTGAAAACGTGAACGAAAAATAGCGGACGCACAAAACACACACCCACACATTCATTTTTTC